CGGCCCTGTCATGGACGACTTTGTCAGGTGGTGTGAGGAGTCCTATCTACAACTGAACATAAGCAAAACCAAGGACATGATCATTGATTTTTTAAGACATCCCCACATACATGAAGTCTTAACAATCCAGAATCAGAAAGTAGAATTTGTGCAATCATACAAATATCTCGGGACAATTATTGACTTAAAATTGAGCTTTGATCCAAACTGTGAAGCTGTGTGCAAAAGGGGGCACCAGCGTTTGTACTGTCTTAGGAAATTGTCCTATTTTAACATTGACAAAACCATGATGATGATGTTTTATCATGCTTTTATCGTGCTTTTATCGAGTCAATTCTGTCTTTTTCACTAATGTCATGGTTTGGTAACCTGACTTTAAAGAGCAGAAACTCTCTGAGTCAGATCATAAAGTGGTCCAGCAGACTGATTGGTGAGACACAGCTAAACCTGGAGACCCTGTACCTCAGGCAGTTACAGCGGTTATCCAGCTCCATATTAGACGATGACTCCCACCCTCTGCACTCAGAATTCAAGCTTCTTCCTTCGGGCCGGAGGTTACTCGTCCCAAGGAGTAGAACGAAGCGGTATAAAAACAGTTTTATCCCAGCAGCTATTGCTCAAATTAACACATCATAGGAGCGTCACACAGATGCCTATTTTTATTTATTTATTTAATTGTGAATTTTGAATGTCCATGTTTGTACTAGTGTTTTCCTTCTTAAAATGTTTTTGTCCTTTATTAGAGATGTGTCTGTTGTTTGTGTTTGTTTTTAGTGTCAGGATGGAACCCTTGTGTATTTTTCTCTGCAAACAGAATCTACCTACGGGTACCAATAAATAACCTGAAACCTGAACCTGATTGTTGGCTCGCTCCAGGGAGGAAGTCGCTTTACAGACGTTACATCTCGTATCGCATCTGTCAAAGCCTGGGTTTTCATAATGAATTTGAAGTAGAGCTATACTCTTCCATCTCAGATATTCATTTATCTGGGAGTGGAATTAAACTCAGCCAGCAGAGCGCGGCTCTCGCGGCAGCGAGTGGAGGAACTGACAGCTCCCTCTCCGGCGTGTCACATCCCGCAGGCCCTCTCCGTGATACAGCTGCTCAGCATGACTTCAGCTGGTCACATGGGGATCCCCCTGGGACTCCCCCATAGGAGGAGTCTCCAGAGGTGGTTCATTCGCCCGCGCATCGACCTCGTAAAGACAGAGGTGCATCCCTATTATACATCCATGTTCCCTTTTTCTGTTTACTTCCTGTCTTGTCTTCTTCTGCTGTTCCCTTTAGTCCCTGTCTGTCTTCTTCTGCTGTTCCCTTTAGTCCCTGTCTGTCTTCTTCTGCTGTGCCCTTTAGTGGTTACTTCCAGTCTGTCTTCTTCTGCTGTTCCCTTTAGTGGTTACTTCCAGTCTGTCTTCTTCTGCTGTTCCCTTTAATGTTTACTTCCTGTCTGTCTTCTGCTGTTCCCTTTAGTGTTTACTTCCTGTCTGTCTTCGTCTGCTATTCCCTTTCGTGTTTACTTCCTACTAGTGTCTGTTTTTTTCTATTTTGTCCGGCTCGCTTGAGTTTTTGAACTCTTTCCTTATCTTGCTCTGTTTTCTTGTTCTCTTTTTTTCTTTCTTTACTGGGGACTGTTCAGTCATCATGATTCCAAAGTTGTATGCTCTCACGAATATACAAATGTATAATCAGAAAGTATTTCATGGTGTCCGCTGACATTTAATTGACAGCCCTTTCTTCTGACGATAGATATGACTGCACATAGACCTGCTTTTGTAAGTGAAAGAGAACACCGCTAAATGTCCAACTTGAACAATCAGAATTGAGTATTCACATGGGCTGTGTAATAAAACTCAAATGATTAGATGTACCATGTAGGCCTTTGTCTTTATCTTTGTCTTTGGTTTAAAGCCCTTTGCACTACTTATGCTGTTAGTTTGACATTTATTCTATATTAGTGTTACACAATGCTTCTTGAGCCTGCATGTGTGTGTTGGTGTGTGTTGATGCAGGTTTGCCCTGGGCGTTTCCTGGGTGGGTGGGTCAGGGTAAGAGCTGGCCCTATGACTTCCCAGACATCACTGCAGCATACGTGGTGAAATGGATCCTCGGTGCCAAGCAGTACCATGACCTGGACATCCACTATGTGGGGGTGTGTTTTCTGTTTAATCTCACTCCTTTTCGAACTTTGCATAATTACATTACATGTCACTTGTTAGACGGTTGTTAGACGCTTGTCTGATATACAAAGCTTTTATCCAAATTGCCTTTTTGTATCAGATCCGCCCAAACCTTCAACAATGGACACTCTGTTAGTACAGCTGTGCTACTTAGTTGTGTGGTGAGTTGTATGAGGTTGATGAAATATTATGTTAGAAAACATTATTTTTGTGGAACTTGCAGTAAGGAGCAGGGTTCATTTTGTTGGTTCAATAGATAACAATGTCTCTGTGCACCTCTTCAACAACTTAAGGTTAATTTAGAGACAAAGTGTAGAAGAATCATTCTAACATGTAATGCATCATGTTCTTAATGAACATGGCTGGTCTGCTGTGTTACTAAAACGTACTTTCATCTGTTTAGATCTGGAATGAGCGAAACTTTGACAGCAAGTACATCAAGGTAATCCAACCTCTTGTCTTTTTGTTCTCTCACTGATTTCTCTGAATATTTAGCATTATGAAAAAGCTTAACCTAAACTGTGAAAGTCTAAAAACAGCCACAAACATTGAGGCTGGTCCCAGAGCTGCTTGTGGGCTCAGATGTGGAGATGATGGAGATGTGTTTGTTGCCAAGGTGCTGCGGAACACGCTGGATAAAGTGGGTCTGACCGGGGTGGGCATCATCGCAGCAGACGGGGACTGGAGCATCGCTGACTCTCTGAACTCTGACCCGCACCTTAGCGAGTGTGTGGAGGTCGTCGGGTGAGTACAGCTCCATGTCTCACTCTGGAGAATCCCTCCACCTTACGGCGGGGACATTTTGGGGAGTGGGCTTTCAACCAAAAGATCACTGATTGACTAAACCTGTTGAAATGTTCACTGCTCCTCATCTGGCCATTTCTTCTTCTCTATAAATGGAAGTGCTCTGCTGGATCACTCTGAATGTTTGTGGCTGTTTTTTCGTTTGGGAGAGTTCAATCATTAATTTACTTGATAATCTGCATACGTGCAATCTTCACCACTAAACATTTTCATGTAATCAACCTTACAGTGTATTGCTGCCATCATGTATTTTCAAAGTGGTTGTAAAACTGCATACATTTTATGTTACCCATGAATAGTCACCCATAATTGTTGCTCTTCCACTGTACAAAGAGTTCAAGCCTTGCTCTGTTTTTCCAGACCACAAACTCTATTCTCATTAAGTTCATTTCCCTTAAGTTCCCTCATTGCACACATTACATTTATTTCGGTACATGGTTTTAGTATGCTTTTATCCCTAGTGTCTTCCATAGAATTTGATCCTGGGGCCAGGGGTCCAACTCCTGACCCTAATGTCAGACACAGATCAAGACTCCTGGTTAACAAAGGGAAATGTTTAGCAGATCAAGAGCCAGATCATTTACTCAGGAGTTAAAGTGAGTAAATATTGGACTTGTGTCAGTCGCCCAGCATCAGAATTGGTTTTATTACCAAGTAGGTTTACACATACGCGGAATTTGCTTTGGTATATGTGGTGCATAAAGAGACACAGAAAGAAGAATAGCAAAACATAGCACTATTATAAAAGCTATTTTAAGACTCTTGTAACAAATTAAAAATAAAGACAACATTTACAAAAAATATAAATATGTGAGAAACTGAGTACAGATACTACATTTAAAGTGGAGAGCTGTGCAGATTGAAACACAAGTAGTGTGGAGCAGAAATGTGCAACATGTACAAAGGGTTGTAAAGGATTTACAATATTACAAATAAATTGGGGAAAGGATATGTGAGTAGTTTTCCAACTGTTTGTCTTCCCCAAGAGAATCAATGAACACAGTTGTAAAATCATTTGTTTATTCAAAAGTCCTACATGGTGGCAGCATCACTGTTTGTGTTCCTCTGCCGCTGGCTGAGCAGCTACTGCGCTACACTCTGGATAAGAGTGGTCTGGAGGGGGTCCGGATCATAGCCAGTGACAACCTGTGGCAGCCCATCACCCTGTCTCTGCTGCAAGACCCCGAGCTGGGGGGGGCTGTAGACGTGATAGGGTAGGAGCTTCCTCTCAGCATCCACCTGTTGCCATAACAACAGCTTGTTTTGAGAATCTGTCTCTAATTGGGCTGCACGATATATCGTGTCGTGACGATAATCGCGATATGCGCATCCGCGATATTCAAATCGCCTGGGCGTGCGATTTTTTATTTATTTATTTATTTTTAGGACTTGCGATATTAAGTAGGCAAATTAACTCAAACACGTCATGTTACAATTATTGAAACTTGCACGGCTCTCATGGCAGGGGTACTTGAGTGAGTGACACGCAGGCTCTGCAGGCACAGCATACCACAATCAAATCTCCAAAGCAAACGGACCCGGAGATTAAAGGTAAAAACACTGAGTGCACCGAATGGGAAATTCTTGGCCGAAACCGATATCGAAAATAGGAAACAGTTGGCCGAAAAACGAATGCCGAAAGGCCGAAAATGATTAATAGAAATAAATATATATATAATGTATACATTTTTTACCAAT